GTGATCTTGTTCTTCCTTGGGCATCCTCTGAATTTAACTCAAATATAGCCTAAATCTACTCCAAATCACTTGAAATTTACGTTTTGAACTCATCTTGATGATTCCAATCAATTGAGACAACACCCATTCCGAACAACTAACAAATAGAAAAACTCAATTTGTGAAATCAAATCTTCGAACCACCTGTAAATGGTGACTTTTATTTTTCAAATCCTTAATTAACCATTGAAATCCGGAAAAGAATAAAGGAGAATAACAATAGTAGAGAAATTTTATGGTGCAAAGGCTGACTTGGGAAGGAGAAGAAGAATGAAGAAAAAAGGGGAATGAAGAAGAAAGGGGAACAGAGAAATAAGGGGTGGGCTAACTGGAATGAAGAAAAAAGGGGAGTGACAAGGGATGTAACTGGAACGAAGAAAAAATAGGGGAACGAAGAAAAAAGGGGCTAACTGATGAAAAGTAATTTTCAGGTTATGTACAACCTGGGCAACATTCGGTAAGGGCTTCAAACATGTACCATTTTCTGATGGGTTGTTGGGCCAAATAACAAGGGATGTAATTCTCCCAATAAAATAATGTAAAAAGAACAAATTAAAGACGAAAAACTAAAAGGGGCAAATAAACAATATACATTAAGTAAAATTAAGTCGTCTAAATATATGAATTATAAGAAAAAATAGATGCCTTCCAGCCCATCACACCCCTTAGCAGCGAAACGGTGCTTGTCCCTCGAAGCGAAGGTAAAGACCAAGACATTGGGGATTCTGAATCTGACCGCACTTACTTAAATGCCATATGATCACTAAAATTGTCGATGAACAATTGCTTATCCATATCATGGATGCCTTCTAATATCACTAAAAAATAGAACCACCCGTTAAAATCAGAAAATGTAAATCTCAAATTTTCGGAATAGTCAAAAAATGATGATTGAAAATTTGTGGAATGCTATACATAAAAACTTTATAACAGAACAAACTTAGAAAATTGTAAGGAAATTTAGTTTACCGCGTCCTCTTTCGATGTGGCTGCCGCAAAATGACTCACATGCATTCTAATAGAAGAACTGGGAAAGAAAAGATAAATTGGAATGTAGTTGGGAACTCTTGGAAGCAAATGGCAAAAGACAAACAGCTACGGCTGCACCTAAATTAGAGCTCATTTTCTTACAATAGTAAAAGTTAGAAATAGGGACAATTATGAGGAATACGAATGGATTGATCAGTTACAATAAGGAGGAATATGAAAGGCTGGAATAGTAACTGTTGAGACGTTTTTTATAATAAAGAATAGAAAAGATAAGATAAGATGTAAAGTGAAACGAAATACATTGAATAATCTTAGAATTTACGTGTTAGTTTACGCTTACAAGCACAGATATCAGGTAATCATGCTAATCAAAGGTGAAGCACAATTGTATACTCATATTGAGTATAGTGGCAGAAATCTAAATCCAAAAATTTAAAATTCTTATTCTTATTTAACAATTACTCAATTATGGGATGCCTTCTACAATTAAGGTGGAAGGTTCAAACCCTACTATGCGTAACGTAGCATCCCCTTCTCTTTGGGAGAAATTCAAAAATAGCCAGATTTATAAGTGATCGTTCAAAAACAGCCCAATTTCAAAAATAATCGAAATTTAGCCACTTTTCATGTAAAGATAAATCTGAGCGAAAACACTATTCAAACCCCGAAAAATACGCCAATATATTATGCTGGAGTTCCAGCATAAATATACTTGAACTCCAGCATATTATACTGGAGTTCCAGGATAAGTATACTAGAACTCCAGCATAATATGATGGAGTTCCAGCATAAGTACGCTAGAACTCCAGCATAATATACTGGAGTTCCAGCAAAGTATATGGGTCAGTATAATATGCTGGAAGTTCATACACAAGTGCTCGAATCTCCAGTATATTATGCTGGAACTTTCCGTGTGTTGGAGTTCCAGCATATGCTAGAAGTTCATACACAGGTGCGCACCGAATTCCAGTATATTATGCTGGACCGGTCTCTGTTGCAGCAAAATAGTGGCTATTTTTCATTAACTTGGTAAACGCTGGCTATTTTTAAATGATCAGTCCAAAAATTGGCTAGACCGTGCTATTTTTACTTTTCCCTTTCCCTCCATGTAATAAAAAATAATAACAATAAATTACTCAATCATTTGAGTAATCTTAAGA